CTCCCTCCCCTCTACTCCCTTCAACCCCCCCGCCGGCGGCCCCCCCCCCCACACACCTTCAACGTCTCCAAGCTGTTCAGGTTGTCGAGCAAGTTGGCCGCATCCACCACCGTGACGCACGTGTCCAGGCGAGCCACGTCAGCGAGACGGCGGGGACCGGCGGCCGGAGCCGCCGCCGCCACGTCATCATTCGCCGCCACCGCCGCCGCCGCCGCGGCCTCCAGCGCCAACGCCGCTGCGGGGTCAGATCCGTCCAGCGGGAATTCAAACGTCTCGGCCACCTGGGCTCAGGACACCGAGGGGGCGGGGGAGGGGGGGGAAAGACGAACCACACACGCGGGGGAGGGGGGGGAGAGGGGGGGAAGGGGAAAGACGAACGAGTGAAGGTGCTGCCAGGGCAAGAGTGTACCAGACGTAGAACTGACCAAAAGGCGTTCTTGGGAGGGGGGGAGCGGGGGAAGGGGGGAAGGGGCATCACTAGCCGGACGCCGACGGCATAGCAGCAGCAGCAGCAGCAGCAGCGCGGTAACAGCGGCGGCTCCATAGATAGCTGTAGCAACAGCTCTATAGCTCTATAGCTGTATAGCTGTATATATCAACAACATATCTTGTAGCTTGTATAATTCTATAGCACTCTGTCCCGTATATTCCCCCCTACCTGCATCGGCTCCCCAATGCCCGTGCTCTCCACTACGCAATAATCAAATCGCCCGTCGGCAGCAATTTCCGCAATTTGCTGTACGAGATCTCCGCGCAATGTACAACAGATGCAGCCGTTATGCAGCTCCACTAACCGCTCCGGCGCCGCCGCTGCCGTCACCGTCACCGCCGCCGACCGGTCAGCTCGACGCCCGCCGCCACTAGCGGCACCAGAGGCAGAGGCAGTGGCGGCGGCCGCCAGTGACCCCTGGGCCACTAGCGCCGCGTCAATATTGAGCTCCGCCATGTCATTGACCACCACCGCGCACCGCATGCTGGGCTCCCGGTTGGTGAGGATGTGGCGCAGCAGTGTCGTCTTGCCCGCGCCCAGGAAGCCCGACAGCAATGTCACCGGAAGCAGCCGCCGCCGCCGCCGCCCTCCCTCCTCCTCCTCCTCCTCCCCATCCCCATCCTCTCCCTCCTCTCCCTCCTTCTCCTTGCCATCACCACCGCCGGGAGAAGAAGCAACAGCAGCAGCAGCAACAGCATTAGTAGCAGCATTAGTAGCAGCAGCAGCAGGTGGCGGGGCTTCAGATGCTTCTGCCGGGTCCAGTACCGCCTCCGCCAGCGGCGTCGTTTCATGCTGTGCCGCTGCCGCCGTACTGCTGCTCCCCTCCGGCGGCACATACAGCCCCGAGAGCCCGGAGGCGTGTGCCGTACGCATCATCGCTGCTAACTGAGCCAGCGGGGCCCGCCAAGCAGCCGGTACTACCGGCACATTACTGCCGCCGCCGCCGCCGCCGCCTTCCCCTCCGCCAGCCACCTCCCCCGTCGCCAAGTCACACAGATCGACCCACACGCCGCCTCGTGGCTCACCAAATACGTACTTCAGGTCTTCATCCGGGCACTGCAGCACTGCGACCGAAGAAAGGGGTCGCAATGTTGGGAGGTAGAGCGACACATACATACATACACACACAGCACACAGCCGACCACTCGCACCCTAGGCAAGCAGGTAAACAGTAAAGCTGCGTCCCACCGCCATCATAGCTCCGTACGCGGCGGTTGACGACATACAGATGAACACAGGGGCAGGGGGGGAGGAGGGATGGAGGACAAAAGATCCGGATCCGGACTGCACATCTACCACCCTGTATAGCACACCACCCCTATGGACAAATAAATACAACCACCCATTATTATTATGCACGTGACGCACGCGCATGGACGCATACTGACATACAAAAAGACGTACACAGACATAGCGGCATGGCATACCTGCTGCGAATATGTGCCAAAACGCGGGTACTGCAGCGGTGGCGGCTCCCCCACCCTTGGTGTCATTACTGTCGTTATTCTTATTGCTGCTGTTGCCGCTGTTGTTGTTGCTGCCAGCGGCAGTTGTGGAATTAGTGGCAGGCTGTATGTGCAAGACCGGCGGCAGCGGCAGGATGCGCGCCGCGTCGGGCGCCACTTGGAGCACGTCCCGTAGGGCTCTGTGTGAGGGGGGAAGGGGTGAGGGTATGCAGAGCCCGGGGGAGGGGAGCGGGTTGGCCACTCGCGGTGGCAGACACGGGCGGCTGGCAACCCGCATGCTATAATATAAATTATATTATTATATTTCAACACGGCCGTACAGGCTGCCTGTAGGGTTGGCAAAAATACTATATTTTTTTACCCAAATAGTATAGTATAGTAAGAAATAGTACTATATATAGTAATGTAGTACTATGATACTATTACTAGGCAGGTACACGCTCCCAGTAGAAGGGGGGTGTACGACCAACCGTTGTACCTGAAAATTACACCGTTGGAAAGGTCTTCTTTTGTTCTTTCTAAATATCTACTTAGACATGAGAAAGCAGATCGCTGTGGTCATCCAGATCACTTTTTGTTAGTTCAGTGCCCGGTAGTTGGACCCCAAACCCCATGTCTCAAGGCGTGTTATGGCACATAAAGACATAATCACAGATAGAAGACCCAGTGTTGACAAGACAAGGCGCGGTCCAGCATTGGCCCCATCAACTGCTTCCGGTTCGGCAGGGTGACGCCCAGCAGCCCGAATAGGTTCCGCAACTCGGGCTTCTCGATCAGGTGAATAGGCACGTTGTTCCTGTAGAAGAACATGCCAAGCTCCTCCACGACTTGCCCCGCGAGAGTCGCGGGAATCACTGGGAGGAGGGTCTGGCCATCAATGCCGCGCCGGCGCTTGGAGAGGGCCTGCTGATCCGCCGTGCTGGGGCCCGCCGCAGCGGAGCTGGTTCCACTCTGTTGCTGTTGCTGGCTGAGTGACGCTGCACGCTGTTTGATAGCCTTGCAAGCACCTTGCTTGATGTGGTGCGCGTTGGTAAAGGATGGGTTCGCGGCGCTGAGCGGCTCATCGCCGAACAAGCAGACTAGCTTTGGTAGACCACCCCACCACTCCACATCGAAGTTGTCCCAAAGACTACCCGTCTTGGCGTTCTTCTTCTGGTTACGTAGCTTGTTAAAAAGCTCGTTCCGAGAACGGAGAACTTCAGGGGGGACGTCTGGACCAGGATGCAAGCCTCTGATCGCCTTGTCATTCATTATACTGGAATCCCTTGACATTATTCATCAAAACTACGTAGCACAGCTCGAAGACGCGGCTATAGCCCTTCAAAATACAGCTTGACTGCAGATCTCGACTTGGTCCAACTAATACTGGACACTATCCAAACCCAAACCTAGTACTATCTAGTACTATTTTTACTATACTATTTTACTATGTACGAACGCGGTACGAGCGTCGTAAACTAGTGCCAGTTTAGAGCCCTGCATAGTATATAGTACTATGCATAGTACTATTATAGTATAGTACTCTTTTCTAGTATAGTACCCGTGCCAACCCTAAATATAATTAATAATATAATAACATATAACATATTATATGTTATTATTACATACATATTATAACTTCATATATATAAATATAATAATAATAATTATTATATAACATTATACATTTATATAATAATATCATGTAAACTAATGTAATAATTATATATTATAAATTATTATATTATTATTAGAATTGGCGGAACATATAATATAATGGACGAAGAGCCTTCACCAGTTCCCTGGGCAATCTCAAGGTAAATAAATCAGTTACCCCAAACCGCCTTTGGCACAAGGGGCGTCTTTTGGGGGGCAGGAAGACTTCAACCACCAGCACAGCTTCTCACCCCAATAGCTGCACTGCTAGGCACACTCCGTACCTGTGCGCTGCGGACCGTTCCGTTTCCACGTACGACGCCGTCGTACAGGGCACAGGCGCCGGCGGCATCGGCAACAACCCTGCGGCAGCGCCGCCGCCGCCACCCGCCGCCTTCTGTTTCTGTTGTTGTTGTTGTTGTTGCTGCTGCTGACGCGACACTGGCAGAATGTAAGCTCTAAGGCGGGGAGTCTGACAGCCGTTGCCGGCGGCCGCCGCCCCACCGACGGATGCAGCGTGTACGACCAGCACGCCGTACCATCGCTCAACTGCAGACAGGTCCGTTGCTGGGCTGTACGACAGGTTGCAGACGAACTGCAGTATACGGTAGCAGCGACATCCGGGAGGCAACATCACCACCAAACAGAGCCGGGGGGTGGGGTGGGGGGCAAGATGACTCTTGGAGGGGTGGGTGGGGAGGGTTGCGATGAAACACACGCATGGCGAAGCTGGGGGGTGGGGATGGAGGGGCCGGCGGGCGGTTGCAGCTGACGTGAACCACGCATTGGTCAGGGGGGTTCGGCACCGCCCGACCCAGATGGGTCTCAATCTGGGACAGACAAACAGGCCAGCAGACAAACAGACAAACTGACAGACTGACACGGGCCGACCCAGATGGCGCAGAGACGACAGCTCGATAGGCAGCAACCGACCGACCCAAGTGGACGAGCGAGGGGGTAACCCAGGAGGAACAAAGCGACCCAGATCAGAATTGAGTTCAATTTGAGGCCCCGGGAGGCGAACCCGGGGGAGGGGGGAAAGGGGAGGGACGGCGCCATACTCACACACGCGCGCAGATGCATAGATAAACAACACCACACATAATAAAAGTCCTTTTGCGTTTTTTTGTTGCGTTTTTGTTGCGTTTTTGTTGCGTTTTGTTGCTTTTTGTTGCGTTAAAATGACCTTTCCCCTCCCCTCCCTCCCTGCCTGCCTGCAGCGCGCACACGGCCCACACCACCGTCTCACCTCCTCACCATTGACCTTCTCCACACGGCCCCATGAGCTGCCGATCTGGATCTGCATGCGCCCGCGGTAGCTGCTGACCCTGCCTGTTTAGGACACGGAAACCGCCCCCCCCACGTGGCCGGTTAGTTGGGTGGCGGGTTCCCGAGGTCCTGGGGCGCAAGCGCGCTTCTTGAACGCGTCTGGGACCAAAACTCCCTCCCCCCACCTCGCTCCCCCGAATTCACCCCCCTCCCACACCAGAGAATGCTGACAACCCCCCCGTAGACCTCCTCCCGCGTTTCCACCACCCCCTCAGTACGCAGCATAAATCCCCCAGAACGCAACACCGCAATCATTACTGCCGTACATATACGGCAAAGAATTTACTCAAGTTTGTACCTGAAATCCGGTAGAACTTCCCCCGCTTCACATTGCTTGGTTTACAGTTGTTGTTGGCTCTGTAGATCAGGCGGCAGTAGCTCGAGGGGTCTCGGACGAGCGCCGAGTAGACGGGGTCGCGGGGCTTGGATGCGGGGTCCACCCCCTCCAGCTGATAGACCTGCGGTGGATTGCCGTGGGCGGGGGACGGGCGGAGGCCTCTCGTGCTTGGGAAGGAAGGGAAGGTAGCTGCGAAACGCCAAGAACATAGTGCGACAGCAGAGCACGGAAAGGGTTTGGGAGGGTGCGGGGAGCAGGGGGAAGCAAAGGCGCCTAATGGTGGCGTGCGGTTTCGGAGCCGGACAAAAGTCCGGTTGGCATAGAGCTTAACCCCAAAGCTGTGGGAAGAGAAAGGTAGCTGTAACTGGAAGGCCACGATTGGAAAAAGAGAGAGAGAGGGTGTATGTGTGTGTAGGATATTGCTACTGAAGTGTCTCTGGCACACCGGGTCTGAAGAAAGGCTGGCCTAGTGATTCCATGGGTGGTGCGGTTGCTGGAGGTGATTTACAGAGGGGCATACATGACCAGACCAGGCAGGCAGCGGTCTGGTCAAAGCAAGGTCCGGTGGGCAATGTCCGGAGTTGTGTCACGGTCAACCCGGCGCCGGCGCCGCAGAAAAACTCCCTGGTGCCCGTTTCTGCTTGATGATATCTGTGCACATGGAAAGTAAGTAATCAGGCGATACCTCCACGAGGAGGTCCTCAAACGTGTCGCCCAGGCTCAGCTCATGTAGGCGCACCATCGCTGTTCCTGCTTATGGAGCAACCCTATAGCAAAGAAACTGTATGTTGGTATGGTGTCTCCTGTGGTTAAAATATCCGATGATCTTGGTGCATGGCGTTTAACAATTCACATCACAACCCGTTTTGATAACATCTTTGCTAAAACAAGGAAAATTCGTCACGGTAACATGAAGGCCGTTAGCAATAACACATGACACAAAAACCTAAGCTTAGAAGTGCTAGATGATAAGAAGGTTTTGAGTCGGGACTGTCGTGGCTCGTCCGGCGGCGATTGTGTCGGCAAGTTAACCATCAGACCATATTTGGAGCTGAAGCCAGAGCCTGAAAGCTCGCTAAAGAAAGCGTTACGCCATAGATTTAATTCACCACTAACACCATGGCCGAGCAGAGGCGGCCTAACTGCTTCCTAGCAGGGCCAGTCTTTCCATGCCACACCGCGAACCCTAGCCTGAGTTCATCTTGCGATGGCGCAAACAAAATCGAATTGCCAATTCTGCTTTGCTTCCGCACACAATCTGCGTCATCGGCGAACTGGGCGGCAAGGACGCGCAGATGTCGCTCCCAGCTTCGTTCTGGCACCACCGCCACCGCCAACCATGCCAGTGACAATGCACCCACGCATTCCTCAGCCTCTCCGCTATCTCTATCACCGGACAAAACGGCCGCCAGCGACTGGCCACAACATGGCCGTACAGGCATCATCGGTAGCAGCACCAGCAACCCCTTCCACAGCAGCTGCTGCACTGACGCTGCAACGACCTGCCGGCCTTCAATCAACGGCTTTTTGTTGAGCACCTTGCACGTGATGTGCCGTACGGTCGCGTCCGTCACGATTGCAAACCACGTTGGCTCCGCGCCGCCGCTGCAGCCGCCGCACCCCCGGCTTCCCACTGGCCTCCTCCCCGTACCTCTGGATGAGCAGTCTAGCATTCCCCCCCCGGGCCGGCAAGCAGAGGCTACAGCTCTAGGGGCTGCAACTGCCGGCGTGTCTGGTGGCTATAGCAGTAGCAGGAGCGACAGTGGCATTGACAGTATGAACATCGGAAGCGGACCTAGCGATGGCAATGGCGGCGGCGGCGCCGCCGCCGCCGCCGCCACCGGCTGGGCGGCGCCGCCATCGCACTTCCACTCCCACTCGCACTCGCCGTCCTGTGGCACGTATCCCCCACAGCCGCTCTTCAGCCTCGCCAGGTACATAGCAGCAGTAGCAGTCGCACCACCACCGCACTGGCATTGCTAAGAGCGGCAACTCGTTGCCTTCTGTACCTATATGGGTACTGTACGGCGATAGGGCACACGCGTCCTCCCCCTCTCTCCTCCCCCCTCCTCCCCGTTCCCCCGCATTCTCCCCGCCCCTCTTGGTGCCACTCACTGACTCTTCATGCCGATGATGGTGCTATACCTACGAACTCGCCGCTGGGGGGCGTATCCCGACCTTGTATATTTTCATCAGGGTGATTGAAGCCGATGATCCAGATGATCCGAAGCAGCGGCTCCGGAACCAGATCCAGAAGCGGCGGCAACCTGGTTTCGGAGCGGACGGAGGGAGCGGTGGAGGTGGAGGTGGGTGCTGGACGGCTGGTTGGCGGGCTGGGATTGGGATTGGGATTGGGCTTGGGTTTGGGATTAGGATTTGGGCGGGTGAAGCGGGGCTCTCTGGAGTAGGAGGGGGGAGGGGGGAGGATGGGGATACGAACCACGTGAACGAGTAAAGCTGATGCCAAGGAGGATATAGACTGACACGCCAGAAGTATATATATCAGAGAAGTATGTGAGAACTGTCTAAGGGGGCGGTGGGAGGGGGCCAGGGTATCTCTAAGTTAAAAGCAGGTAAGGGGGCAATGGACCCCCCCCCTCCCCCACGGACGCCTTTCGGTCAGTTCTTTCGGTTGCTACTATCTTGCCCTGGCAGCAGCTTCAATCGCGTGTGGTTCGTCTTTCCCCCCTCCCCCCGGGTCTCTGGGAAGGCGGTGGGGAGGGAGCCGCCAGCAGCTCATTGCAGCAGCCAGCCAGCCAGCCAGCCAGCCAGCTAGGGTTTTTGCAGGGACGAGTCCGATATCGCAATGAGCCGGGTGATCCGATATCCGTGCATTTCCGTACATGTCGATGTCGATACGTACATCGACATGTACATACATACATTTTTACACATGCGCTCTTACATGCGCTCGTAGTCACGTGGAAACAGCACCTTTACATTCATATTAAGACAGACAGACAGACAGATAGACAAGACGCTGACTGTGTCTTGTCCGTCATCAGTTTTAAAAGACAGACAGACACACGGACAGACAGACACGCGCTTTCTCGGAGTATGTGCGTGTGTGTTGGACAAGGACAAGGCACACCGGGGCCCCGTCGCCATCCCCCCCTTGCCGCCATCGCCGCCGCTGCTGCTGCTGCTGCTGCAACGGCTGCTGCCTGCAGGTTCCGTGGATTTGCGTTCCGGTGCAGACCTGGATCTGGATCTGGATCGAGCACAGAGGGTCCTTGCGGAGCTCATGCGCGACGGCGGAGGGGGAGATCTCCGACCGACGGAGGGCGACGCCGGGGAGGCGGGGAGCCCGGGTGGTGGCGGAGGCGGCGTAGCGGCGGAGGTGGAGGCGGAGGCGACCCTGTCTAGGTGGGCCCAATAAAGGTGTAATGAATGCGGCTACTGGTACTGTTACTGCTGCTCCTCGGGTGGCGGTGGGAGCGGATCCCCAGCGGGGAGGCGGCAGTAGCAGAGGGGGTCTCCTCCTTCGTTTACTCCCGGGGGGAGGGGGAGGGAACGGGAAGAGGAAGGGGAAGGGGGAGGGGAAGGGAGACGGAAAGGGGAAGGGGAAGGGGGAGGGGAAGGGAGACGGAAAGGGGAAGGGGAAGGGGGAGGGGAAGGGAGACGGAAAGGGGAAGGGGAAGGGGGAGGGGAAGGGAGACGGAAAGGGGAAGGGGAAGGGGGAGGGGGAGGGGAAGGGGAAGGGGAAGGGGGAGGGCCCTCTCACCTCCCACAGCCCCGTCCTTGAGAGCAAAGAGGGGTCATAAAGGCACAGAGAGAGAGGGGGGCCTTATGGCACAGGCGGTGGCAGCGGAACACGACGGTGTCGCATGTGCCGTACGGGCTCCCCTCTGCTCAACGCGATCCATCACCACTGCCGCCATATCACTGCTGGGCCCCCCACAGACCACAACCACCACAACTACCACAATCACAACCACCTCAACAACCATGATTACACTGGCTCCATCCCGCGGTGGCTTACATACATACATACAGATTGGAGTGCGGGTTCTGCCGAGGACGACTCGGCGGCGGCGGCGGCGGGAGCCGCAGTTGGCGGCGCTCCAAGGGCGGTGCCGTACTGCTGTGCGACGGCTGTCACCGCGGCTTCCACGAGCAGTGTTGTCGTTATCGGGGGCTCGATATCCGGCCACGGAGGCGGCGGCGGCTGGGGGGCCAGGGGCTGGCGGCGGCGGCCGGCGCTAGCGAGGAGGGCGGCGGCGGCGGTGGCTGTACGGCGGAGTGGCACCATTGCAAGGTCAGTGTTGCTCAGTAAGCCGTGGTAGGTAGTTTAGGTAGGTAGGCAGGTACCGATGCGCATCATGATCATATCATAACTCTCCCAACCGACCCACGGGTCGGTTGGGGCGCTACTGCCGCCTCTGCCGCCACCACGGCTGCTGCTGCTGCTGCTGTTGCCGCCTCAGGACTGTGCCGAGGTGGCGAGCCTGTGGAGGTCAAGAGCGGCTGCCGGGCCCGGGCCCGCACCAGGGGGACGATCCTGGATGCTGGCGGCGACGAAACTGGACGGGATGTACGGCAATGTACGGCAAGAGGGCCTGGAGGCGCTGCAGCAGGTAATGGGGGTTGGTATGGTGTTGGTAGTGCCTGTCGTTCGTGTTGTTGCCATCTCCCGTTTTTCACGATTCGTTGTCTTCATCCCTCTTTTTCCCTTTCTCCGGCCACGCGTGTGTTTTAGGCATCTGCCGTGCTTTCCTCGGAGTACGGCCCTCGCGTTGTGGATGCCGTACTGGACAGCGACTACGCCGTACTGCTGCGCGATGCTCGCGGTACGGCAGTCAGCGCCGCAACCATGGATGTGTACGGAAGGGAGGTGGTGGTGATGGATATTGCGGCAACTGCGGATGAGGCCCAAGGGAAGGGCCATTTCAGGTGCGTGTGTGTATGTATGTATGTATGTACGAAGGAATGTACGAAGGAATGAAGGAATATATTGAGAACAACAGGATGTCGTAGTTTTCCGAAGTGAAGTGGCGAGGGGATGGCATACACGAGTATGTATGTATGTATGTCACCCTCACTCCTGGTAAATTGCGTGCCGTACCCCGCTCAAAAAAAACGGACAAAAAAATTCAACTTGGGAAATGTTGTTTCTGCACGCATACTCGTACTGCATATCTTTATCAATCCATTAGATAACAGTTGCTATGTATTGGTTACAATAACCCCGAGCATTGAAATAATTACAAGAGAAACTTTCCTGCCTTAGATTCTGAATACTTTTGCTTGATAGTGCTTGATGCCTAATGTCCGATTGGATCCTGGATCCTAGACACTTGTTTTTAGTTGACGCACATTTTGGATCCCGGATTTTGGATCCCGGAAGGGCACTGTTAACCTCCCTGGAGAGCTGGCTGGACGAGGCACGGATGCAGCACTGGGTGGTGGCGCTGGCGCCCGGAAAGGGAAAGGATGATGGAAGGGCCGTACGGCAGCTGTGGCGCGAACGTGGCTTCCGGCCCCTGGTGGGGGCCCAGGCGGGCGCCTGGGCGCGGCAGCTGCCGGGTTTCCCAGAGTCCAGCTCCAGGGGGGTTTGGGGGTTGGGAAGGGGCGGCCGCCGAGGGGGGAGCAGCGCCCTATTTGTGAAGCGACTGAGGGCGGCGAAGGGGGAGGGGGAGGAGGGCGGCGAAGGCGGCTCGCGGCCGCCGGGGGTGTTGCGGAGGGCTGTGGGCGGGATTTCGGGCGGGGTAGGGGGAGCCGTGAGAAGCGTATTGGGGTACATGCTGCTGTGGGAGCGCTAGCTGCAATTGCGGGCTCGCAGGTATAAATTGTTTTCAGACTCGCGCGCATCATGGACTTGGCTGCGTTTTGGTTGAAGAGGGATGTATTGATTGTTTTAAGTTTCTTTTTGTGGTTTTTTGAGGGGTTGTTTGGGGATTAGGAACTGGTGAAGAAGTATCGCGACGCCGTGTGTGTGGTTCATGGCACAGGCTATCCTCTTTGGAAAGGCAGCCCAGGCCAGTGTCCTGGTCTAGTAGAGAAATGGATAGCAGTGGTGATGATGTGTGGAAAAGTATGGAAACTTATGCTTGCTATGCTTGTATATAAAAGCGTCGGCACCTTTGCTTGCGTGGCTCGCGACGACGTTACGACTGAACGCAAACAATGACCAGTAAGATAAACCGTTACCATGCTCCCGTTTTGGAAGTAAACATACTGTACAGCTCTTTATTTATACAATGCTCCGCCAACACGTTAGCAACTGCAGCTCGAATGGGATCAAGCGCACCTCTCGTGCGTCCTGCCCTTTCGTTGGAGCCTGGCTACCACACAGGCCATGCCATTTTTCTAATACGCGACCAGGAAGGCGATCCTGTGTTGTTCGGGCAGTGGAGACCGAGCCAAGTCCTTTGGACTCCATTTCACTCAAGTCGATAGAAGGTAATGTCCTCAAGCAGACTGGGGACACGGTTAAAGTGCACCTATCAGAAAGAACCTTGAGGGGATGAAGTCATGGTTACAGCTGGCTTTGGTGTGGTGTTGGAGCTCGAAGGTGAAATTTCGGTCATCCATCCCCTGTATGAACTCGCGCCTGCCAGGGCGGAGAAAGCAATACAGGTCTGCAGTACTCGGCAGGTATTCGTGTGTGTTCTGGTTGTACAAAAATGCAAAGGTATTGCTAGCCTCTCAGGCTTCCCACAGGGGCTGGGAGGTTGTACGGAGATTGGTTTCGGCGGGACCCGCGACCCCGAAAAAACTCTGTTACCTCCTGCTATCTCACCCTCCGAAACCGCCACTTTCCTTCTTCTTGGCTCTCCTGCGTGATGGCCTCCCTGACCCTCCGGGTGGTCTTGGGGCTCCCCCTCCCGCCAGCTTCTCCCTCGGGACATATCCGCACACCCGCATCACATCTTCCCCTATCGCTCCTTCCGCCTTCTCTCCGTCAAGCACTCTCCCCGGCCCCCCCGGCCCCCCAACCACACACGGGGGAGCCAGTTACGACGGAATCTCTCTCTCTCTCAAGTCTTTCTCTCACCCCCTTCTTATATGGCCTCTCTTCTTGCTTACATGTGCTGCGATTTTCAGTTTACAAATAGTAGTTGCTGTTGTTATTACATTACATCGGGGGCTGCAAAAGGCCTGCCACCAGGAGCGCACGGACGGTTTGCTTGTCGCGTCTAAGCGTGGTGCCGAGTGAAGCTCTCTATCCAGCTCTCCATCCAGCTATCTATTCATCCATTTATTTTATATTTCTTATATATGTATCTATCTATCTATCTATCTATCTATCTATCTATCTGTCTATCTGTCCACGAGCATATCCGTGTCCACGGGCCCTCGTTATCCTCATTCCTCGTCATCATCCTCGTCATCATCCTCTCGTCCTCCCCGTCACAGACCTGGACACCAACTACTGCGACGACTTCCTGTGCACCTCCTCACCCGCGGTGGAGCAAACGGTCCGCAGCCTAGCCAGGGAGCTCAAGCGGGGACGATACACAACCACCAGCCTCTACCAGCCCGGCGTAACGTACTCGGTACGTGCCATACGGCATATAAGTACGTACATGACGTACATGACGTACATGACGTACATGGGGGAAGGCGCATACGGGTTGTGGGGAGTGCACGGCATGGCACAATGCTAGCGTGGTTGACTAGTACGGCGGTTGCCAGCTCACCCAGCTACCCAGCTCGTCCCGTGTTGGACAAGGCGGTATCCAGTCACCCCTGTGCCCACCGACCCACCGACCCACCAGCCTGGGCCCGAGCCCTAACCGTAACCCGCACGAACCCACCCTCATTTTCCAGGATGGCTTCCGCACCTTCACTGGCCCCGAGGGCTTCACTCGGCAGCGCTGGGTGGCGGATAATGTGCAGGAGCCCAGCCTGGTGGGGCGTCGTAAATCTGGGTGGGGTGCGAGGGGGATGGCTTTGCGGCGGGAGTGAGGGGAGAAAGGGGCGGGGTTGGGGTGTATGTATGTTTTGCAGCTTACAGAGCACACAGGGCAAGTCACGCCCTTACTCCCCCCAAACGCGGGGCGCCTTTCTCCCCCCCACCCACCCGCATACAGCTACACTTATACCGCGCTACTTCCACTGCCTCTTTATGCGCAGCTCGTGTTTTTTTTTTGTGTGTGTGTGCGTGCGTGCGTGAGTGAGTGAGTGTGTGCACTCGCATCTCCGCGGCCGCAAGTACACGACACGGCCGGTACAAAGCCGCATGCACCTTGGGAAGCACTTCCGTCTGCTGCGTCCGGTACAAACACACGCAAACATGCAAATACACAAATACGCAAACACGCTGTTCTTGATGTTTCTTTTTTCGATATCGCACATGTTTTCTGGTGTACGTGTACCGCTTGGATAGGCGTCCAATGTTATACGGAATTATGATTTGGGATTATACTATTCGGAAATATATGGTTTGGAAGCAGACTCATCCATATCAATATATGCGGGATGCACACACAGACAATCGTCAAGATGCGCATGCTGGACAAGGGTACAAGCGAAATCAGTTGGCGGTTGGTTGGGCGGTTGGGCGGCATACTGCTGGACGTGTCTTTCAACACCACATGCGAACACAACCTACTAACGGGCCGCATCACGTCACTGCGGTGAGTGATACCTGGCGTGTTAGGAGGGATAAGCGCGGCCGATGATATAAGGGCTGATTGAGCGGTTAAAACGGTTACTGGTTAGGTAGTGGTTGGTACGGACTTGGTGCTGATCACAGCTCCTGCCTGCATGGGGGCGCCGCCATGGTGCGCGCCCATTTCCTGACCCTTCCTTTTCATTTTTTGCAGATCCAGCCCGCACAACCAACTGCTCCAACTGTCAAACATAACGCCAATTGACTAACCGTACCTACATCCCCGCTGCAGGGAAAGCTGGGACCTGTCGCGCTGCCCACCGCCAGCCGCTTTGCTGGCGACTTTTAACCGCTACAGCTGGTCCGCGAAGCAAGCTGTAGCAGACGCGCGTGACGGCGCCGGCAAAGCGCTTCAGAAGCTGGGCGGTGGCGGCGGCGACGGCACCTCCACCAACTTACCGGCCGATCCGACACGGGTACGTACGAATGTATGAATGTATGAATGTACGGTTTTGAGGAAGGGCAGGAGTAGCTGGTGTGTGTTTCGACACCTGGGACAACTGCAGAATCTCGAAGTCCCGAACCTGTTGGGGGTTCAATTGGGGGGGGGCCCTGGCGGCGGCCAGGTGTTGCAGCCGACCGCATCTTGCCGTGTACGGGCCTGCACTCGCTGGGGTAATTGCTGGTTGGTGCGCCGAATCATGTCAGACAGCTCAGTGATGTGGTATATATCATTAGCACAACACATTCCCCGATGTTCTCCTCCCCCTCCTCCTCCTCCTTACCCTCATATTTCCTCCTAATGTGACACACACACTCTTTCTAACTATCTATCTATCTATATCAATCTATGTATCTATATCAATCTATGTATCTATATCAATCTATGTATCTATATCAATCTATGTATCTATCTATCTATGTATCTATCTATCTATATTTATCTGTCCATCTACCTCTATCTATTTCCCCTCTTAAGTATGTGGATGCGCTGCCGGACCCTTTGATGGACCACTACGCAGTTCTACCAAGGAGGCGACACAGGCAACCAGGACATCATTGCTGTGGGCTTCCTGATCGCGCTGCTTTACCTGGCCTTCAAGCTGTTCGGAGCACTGGAGATGTTGGGTTGACATTGGAGAAAGGACCGGACTGATCGGGATGGCAATTGGAATGCTGATGGCATGGATTAGGTCGAATGGCTGGTGGCGAGAGCCGGCAAGTGAAAGAAGGCGAGTTGGGGCATGTGTGTTAAGCGTGAACAACCCCAGTCAGTCAGGAAGCATGTTCATGCAATGATTTTTTGTGGCGAGAAACCATAATCATCAGCATAGGTTCAGTTGTGGGTTTGACAGGAATCGTCAAAACAAATTTTGGCTGTTTGACTTCAGATTTTCCAGTTGTTCTGCTCGCTGTTTCGTTGTCAATTGATGCAATCAATTTTTAGTAAAAGTCGTATGTATCTATGGAGGTCTTGGGGACGGACAGTGTTGAACAAGTTGTTGATCCTCAAGGAAATGCCGATCTGCTTCAGCAACGATTATGATAAGATTACCGTGCGTCGCCGTATTTGCCGTCGATGTCGCAAGCATAGATACATATACTTTGCTCCTTTATTAACGGAAGTCCAGGGTGTTGAAAAGGTCGACATTTTGGCATCAGATCCACCAGATCCATAAATTCTATAGCGCTGGTGAGGACAGCTGTATGCGGTCCGCGCTGCACGGAATGCACCTTTCCGGTGTTCACGGCCATGCCGTCAAGGAAACGTTGAGGGATATATGGCACGTATATTATGGGACGTCCGGGTGGCCTTCGTTTATTTTATTGATGTATGTGGTGCGCGGCATGAGCGTACAGGATTGGAGTGCAGGCGGGCGCGCGGGACCTCGTCACTTGTGCTGCTCTTGCGTGTACTGTCTCTGCCTCCTGAATGGCCTTCCCCCTCTCTCTCCTCAGCGCCGGTGATCGCCAAGCCCGGATCGGACTCAGCAAGAACTTAATTCCCGGCATAGCGCACTGGAGCATCGTTGAGAGCTGCTGCGGGCTGACCATTTGTTACCTCAACTCGGAGAACATACAAAGCAAAAATCCATTACAAGTAATTCACCAAGCATCAAGAACAGGATTATCAAAAATACGCACATACATGTAAACCAGCTGATTAATGCTATGTAAATTCCGTCTTTGCATATCAGCGCACGCACACCTGCCGCGATTTATCATCTGCCGCACCTGGAGCGCGCCGGATGATGCTCTGCTCAATTATAGCCGTCCTGCAAAAAACCATGATGAAACCCCTTTCATGACGATAACTTTAAAACAAATACCATTCAAGTCGTCGCTACCTCGAAATTCCTGTCGCGATCCTCCAAGCAAGAAACCAGAAACCAAGCAAGCTCAGCAAATCTTGTTTGAAGACAGCTTAACCGAAATAATTAGCATTGCACATCATAAACAATAGCAAAAGGCAAATTGACAGGCACAGACACACAGACACAGACAAAAAGACTCAAGCACCTAAGTCACCTTCGCACCATAGCACGTGGACCAAACAAAGCACATACCGTATGGGCGGCACAACCCCAACACCCCCCTTGCACGGAGCATCCGCTCCGAATCGCAAATCGTGGCTTACAAGCCCTACACACCTATCTACAAAAGAGGCCCCCAAATTCAAATGTGCCACAACGTGCCCCCCCCCCCCACACACGCATCCAAAACACATCCCCCGGCGATCGACTCCTCTTTTAAAAGGCTTTTAAAGAAGAATTCCGCGACCGCTGCTTTCACTGCCGCTGCTTGGCAGCCAGACAGCCAAAGCTGCCGCATCACCAAGAGCATCGTCCCACGCCTATATGCACCACCATCAAACTGTACGATATGACTCATGACGTAAGACTATGACGCGAGACTATGACGCCTTAGAGACTGCCTTGTTTTTTCGACGCCTAAACCGCGGTCAGGACAGAACAGATCAACAACGAATGGGAAGCTGATGGGAGATGGAAGATCATACTCACGCACAAACACGCACAAACAGGCACACACCATTCAGACCCCGTTCACATGCATTCCTCTACGGAGAATAGTCAAAGCGTCGTCGTCATTTATGTGCACTAGTCCGATAGTGTCTAATGTCACAAATAGAGCTATTTCCCCAAAAAAGCTCTAATGCAGCCCCAATCTACCCTTCCCAATGGAAATAACACCGCTACCAGGAACTTATGCCGCACAGGAGGATTCCTTGCTGCTGGTGCTGCTGGTGCTGCTGCTAAGCCGAGCCCCCAGGTCAAGGAAAGCCACGCGCCCCCAGAGCACTATCAACCATCCGAACACACCACTACCCAAATGATGGATGATGGCACACACGCACACACACACGCACACACACACACAAATGCGCGCACACAAGCCGCATATCGCTGTCTGTCCCCGCAAAGGAAAACGATAAGCAACCCAGCATCTGGCAGAGCATCTGGCAGAGCATCTGGCAGAGCCCTAAATGTTTTTTATTTCCCGCCAGCAGGTACACCCCTCAATGAGATCATCTATACCGGGGCACCGCTCTGCACCGGGGCACCGTCCTATTACAACCCACATCATAAGTGCGACCACACTTTCTGCACGATAGTCCCAGTCCCAGACCAGTCCCAGTCCAGTCATGGAAAAATGCACCGTCAGGTTGCAAGTCAACCGCCGACGCTGTGACGACCACAAATGACTGGCAAGGCGAGGACTGGCATATCACCTTCCTATCCACCCGCATTCAATAAGAGGTAATACAGCTTGGTGTCTCACATACATAATGTTTGTCGCATAATATGCTGCTAAAAGAAACAGACACAGAGAACGAAACAATAATTTTGGACATGCCGCGTCGCCTCGGCCAATGTTCGAAGCAGACTCGCGTGCATCTGCTGTCTGTCTGTCTGTCTGTCTGTCTGCCGTCCTGTTGCACAGCAAGAGTGAAATAAGAGTGAAATACTCACCCACCTGCAATTCAACAAAGCTGCGATGCTTACGTCAAAAGCGTTGCCATCCGTTGCATCGACCACCACCGCCAGCGCCGTATGCGGCTTCAAATGCCAGGCAGCTGGCGTACACGGCAACACGCGCAAAGACATACATACATACATACACAGGTCCGCACCGTGTGCCCTCCAGCGCCACCAGCACCTACAGCGCCACCAGGAGGACCCCAGCAGCCACCAACTGGCCGCCACAACATGCTCCACAAAGCACGTGCTCTCCGCCCGCTCTCCCGCCGCTCCTCCCAAGCAAAAGACTCCACCGCACACTCCGCACGCACCTGCGCCACCTCTTACCCTACCCCCCCCCCGCAGCCGCTGCTCAACCTCACGCTGCTGCACACTGATCCTGCCGTGCTCTGTACCCTTCACCCCGTGGGGCAAAGCGACAGAAAAAACAAACAACTTGGGCAGGCCCCAAAAAGCGCTGCGAGAGGCCCCAACAAAGCGACTGCCCCGCAAACGGCTGTGCGGCCATCGTCCGCCGCTGTATCGCACAGCTACTGCCGCCGCCACTATTGAGGGCCAGAAGACGGCGGCTGTAGCTGAACCAGGAGCTGCCCGCTTCCACGCACATGGCTACGACCCTCGCTGCCAGGGCTGCCATGTCGTGACGATTTCGACTGGCCCCAGACAGATTCGCCGCCGCCTCCTCCTCCTCCGGGTTGCAGCTGGTCCTCAGCGCCAGGGATGAAGATCTGGTAGGCAAACACAGAGCTCCCAGGCAACATCCCATACGTGGCGTGGAAGGGGTTGCGGCCCTCCAGTCCGGCTGCGCCATGCACACCCGCAACAGGGTTGAACTGATCGCAGCTGCCTGCACCTGGGTCTGCACTGCCCGTGGGCGAATCGAGGCGGCCTTGCTGGGCGTGGGTGTCGCCGCTGGTGGGGGATTTCTGCAGTTTTGAAGGTTGGTTGGAAGGGAAGGGGAAGGGGTTGGAAGGGGGAAAGACGAACCACGAACGAGTGAAGCTGCTGCCAGGGCAAAAGAGTGTACACCAGACGTAGGGGGAGGGAGGGGGAAGCGGAGGAACGTTTGGAGGCGGAAGGGTGGAAGGAAGTCGGGATGTGCTCGCAAGTTGGCGCGAAAGTGGCGTGGAATGCAGAAGGGGTTGCAAACCCCGGCAAGTGTGCCCCAGGGACGAAATCTACTACTGCATAATATTTTTTCTTAAAAGTGCTGGTCGGAATCCGTTGCAATGGGATGTAACAATGGGACATTCAGTCCCCAAAGCTTGAATTTTGCTCGTCCACAGGGGATGTAGCAACGACGCATGCAGGACTTTCGGTTCCCCACAGCCCACCAAACATGCACAAGATGATGCAAGGTGATGTGTAGACGTTTCAAGGCCATGTAGAACAGCTAGAAGCAACTCTCACCAGGAGAGCCGATTTGGGATTTTCTGTGGAGGACCCCTTAAAGGCAGCGCCAGCACAGCAGCACCAGCAAAACTGCCGCACGGCCAGGACCGCGTGAACGGCAATGAAGACGGCACCCGCAGCTACAAAAGCCACGGCCGGGAAATGCCGCTTGGTGACGAGGGATATAGACATGCCCACCACGGGGAGCCAGAGCGTGGCAAGTACTGCGGGTTCCAAGACACGTTAGGGGTTTGGGTAACTTCAGTCCAACTACACGGGGATTCTACTCAACCCAGGTCTCTTGGATATTTCCCGGGGACTCGCGATGTCCCCGGACAAATGTTCGTAGATTATTGCCTATTTCCTCCCAGCGATCATGGCGCGAAATCTCCCGGTTAAGAACCGTGTTTTACTTTGTTTGCAGTTTGCTGTAAACCTCCCTACCCGCAGCCGCTGGGTTATCTGCATGCAAAGACATTGTCTTGGCTGTGGTCCACTTTGGGAGCGCCTTACCAATGTGTGCGATTGAACGATAAGCGATTGTGCTCGCAAGGTCCAGCAAAGCTGCATCATGGCACGGAGAGGAAATAAGATTGACAAGAGGACATACTCGGTCGCGCGGAATAAAATAGCAAGGACGTTTCATGAACTCATTTTCACCGGTCGCGCATACCCTCACAAGTGATAAGCGATGGTTACAAAACCGCTTTCATGAACACCTACCAACAAGCAGCACCAAGACGGATAGCACTGAAAGCGTAATACCCAAGATGAGAACCGCTTCTGCCACGGGCACGGAGCTTGGCAGCAAGCCTTTGGTATATTCACCCATAGTAGCCATTGCAGGAGAACAAAGAGAAAGGAACAGCAACGTTGCAGCCCAGCTTAATGGTTGCATTTCCGTGTTTCAAGGAAAGTGCCGACCAACACGTTTGCTTGCTATGCAGTGGACATGTAATAACAAGAGCGCGTTGTGTCCAGACGCACAGGGTGCGCTTATACTGTGTGTTCGGCGTCTAAAGTCCTACACTAGAACCGGGCTATAATTGGACTCCACTCGATGACCTGCTTGCTGTCGCCCGTCCATGGCCGAGCCTTTGAGGAGCGAATAATGCTTTCCCAAACCCAAACGCAAATTAGGGCAAAACTGTTGTCTGGCAGCTCTTGGGGCGCATGCCGTACAGCGGTTTTCGGAAACTGAACTGCGAGAGGTGCAGAAGCGTAACCATCTGGTAAATTGTCTTTGTGCCTGGAACCATTTTGTCATCACTCCTGCGAGTGGCTTACACGCCAAGAACGTTCCGGGAATGTTGGTTCCGCTGGAGTCAAGCCCTCCTATGCATCTGAGGTTACCACAAGTGCAGCAATTCACACTCTCTAACACTCCAAAGCAACACATATTTATATTAAGGCAATATGCTCCCATGGGTTCCTTTTTAGTTGTTGGCAGCGGCGGGCCGGCGGGCGGGCTTCCCGGGACATGCTTCCCTTCGTCATCTTGTCCTGTTCATGCCGTACCCGCGCTCCGTTTCGACGCACGCAGGCATACGCACATAATTTCACAGAGCACAACGCACGTACGTGACAGAGGGAAATGTGACATCATGCTCACACACTAATAGAAGGGCTGTATCCCTCTACGCACGACGTGTGGTCTGTTAAGCAACCAATCCAATCGTACCAATCCACCTAGTGAAGCAAGTAACAAAAAAGAAGACGCCTGTCACTGCCTTGACCTCAAAGCAAGTCCACGTTCGTTAAAGCAAAAGACACTGGCTCGTTGTTTTTGCCTAATAATTATGTTGCAGCACCGCCCAGGATTTCTCACACTACTGACGGAACTCTTTACCTGTCTACCTTTCTCCCTATACTCTTCACCACGCTTCCCGGATGCGCTGTTGATAGGCACACACCGTCAGCTTCATTATGTGTATGCGCATGTGCGCTTGTCAGTCGTGTGAGCCAGCGGCGCAGCACCTGTTGGCGTTCACGGCGGCCTTTGTCAGAGAGAAGTATGTGTATGTGTATGTGTATGTGTGTATGTGTATGTGTGTATGTGTATATGTGTATATGTGTATGTGTGTATGTGTGTATGTGTGTATGTGTGTATGTGTGTATGTGTGTATGTGTGTATGTGTGTATGTGTGTATGTGTGTATGTGTGTATGTGTGTATGTGTGTATGTGTGTATGTGTGTATGTGTGTATGTGTGTATGTGTGTATGTGTGTATGTGTGTATGTGTGTATGTGTGTATGTGTGCGTATGTATGTGTGTGTATGTATGTGTGTGTATGTGTGTGTATGTGTGTGTATGTGTGTGTATGTGTGTGTATGTGTGTGTATGTGTGTGTATGTGTGTGTATGTGTGTGTATGTGTGTGTATGTGTGTGTATGTGTGTGTATGTGTGTGTATGTGTGTGTATGTGTGTGTATGTGTATGTATGCGTGTGTGTCCTACACCTCCTCTCCAACTGAGCCTAAAAAGAAAGATGCGAGATGGAGACAGTCTCGATAGGGAACCGATAATATATATTTAAATTGTGTGGCGAACCTTGATATGTCCGCTTCACCGTCGCCGTAACCACCGCCTGCCATTTGCCCGTTCAAACTGCACGCCCGCTTTTAGCCCCAGGCGACTTGGTTTTGTAAAATACGACCTAAATCCTGCTTGCATGCCCGTGATGTGCTCGATAGTGGCGGGAGGGGGCGAAGAAATAACTTGGCAGCGTTCCACTCAGGTTGCTATGTTTTTGCCAACACACAGGACGGGAGGTGTCGTACCCGTACGGAGTCACACGTCGGGGGTGTACTACAGTGGTGTGTATGGGTTGTGCAGTCCAGCACCCATGATCCCTTTCCTCCCCCTCCCCCCTCCGCCCTGCAAGGAGACGCACTCGCAGGTTCCCGCGCTAGTCCCTTCCCTTCCCTTCCCTTCCCTTCTCAACCCAAACAGCCATAGGGAGCCACACACAGCCATAGTCCTGTCCTGGCTTTGTTATCCGCAGAAAAAGCTGTTATATGCCATGCCATTTGTTGCGCAAGGCAGCGCTTTTTATTGTCGACATAGGTACGACGGAGCGCAGCGATCGGAGTCTCTTAAGTCTGGTTCTGCCTGGCGACTGTCGTACAACCGTATTGGAATGGCGAGTATATCACGCTTCAGCTCCTTCGTTGCAGGCATTCTGCCTTTCACCCAGTAGAGCTTCACAGCTTGTAGCTGACAGTTTCCCGCCCATCTTCCCCCCATGGACTCGCGATCGCTATTTCTTCCTCCATCCCCCCTTCCTTTTCCCTTCTCCACTGGTCAGTCCCAGACACCTCCGCACCGGGCTCGGCCAGCGGCGGACCGGCGGCTAATGCTCGCTGAGGAGTGGTTTGACAGCCGGCGGGTCGGGAGTTGAGGGTTGAGGAGGAATTGGTTGCGGTTGCGGTTGGGTCTTTTAGCCTAGCAGCGTGGCCTTGAGAGCCCTGGTAGGGGGGGTGCTTTTCGCCGCAGGTCTCAGTCGGTGTCCTTGCTCGGGTGTCAGGACGCTCGGGTAGCCGTTGTGTGAGTTTGTTGTGGTGGTCGTTGTCGTCGTGTTCTCTGGTTTCGCGTTTTGTGTTGTCTGTGTCGCGCGTGTGTTGCCCCGTTAGGGGTGGGTGGGAGTGTTGTCGGCCGCGCGGTAGCGGTGTGGCGGCCGAAGGAGCCGTAGTCGCGCGCGGCCGTGGTTGGCTGGGGTTGTGTTCTACTGCCGTGTAATGGCCCTTGGCAGCTGGTCTCCCCGCTTCCCGTCTCTACCATTCCTTGCACGGTCAGCCAGCACGTTCATGTCGGCAGAGCCATGAGAATACGATTAAGGGAGACAGGAGCACAGAACTATACACATCAGAGCCCAGGGCTAGGGCTGCAGGAGCCTAATCAGGCAAGGGCTCTGGATCAGACCGGCCAGTCAACCAAAAGCATATCCCAACAACACCAACAGCAGCAGCAGCAGCAGCAGCAGTAGCAGCACGAGAAGCAGCAGCAGCAGCAGGAGAAGAAACTTTTCTGCGCGGTTTCGAGCGTTATTTGCGGCTTGGCGACGTACGACCGCTAGTGCTCTGAGGTTGGCTCGCAGCTCCCTAACAATCTTCCTGGCGGCGCCGGAGGACATCGCCACGATATGCCCGCCCGCACGCACTGAGGTCGCGGGGTCCCGCTCTCCGTCACGTCGTGGAAGCATCGTGTGACGCCTGACGGCTGATTGTGCCACCGGGCGGCAGCGGGCGCGGAAGTTTCAAAAGGACGGAAACAACAAAGTTTTGGCAGATCTGGCGAATGTGGAGGGTGGGGGTGGGGGTGAGGAGGAGCTCGACTTGCGGTGCCGCGTGTGTCGGCAATACGTGTGGTTTTAGTTTGGCCAGTGATCAGGCCGAAAGTGATAATTAACACCTTCACGCGACATAATGTAAACGTCAACGCACGTCGCTTCACATATGCCGTACATGAGCCGTACTACGCTTGCGCAGTTTCGAACTCAGAAGGGCTGATTTCTTCTCGCGTAAAACTGTTTTTTGTTTACTTTTTCCCTTTTTTTCTTTTCCATGTCGACGGCGCTGTCAAAGCGGTTCATGAGCCTCCGGGGCCTCATGAGCCTCGTTTGGGCCGTACGAGCTCGCTGAAGCTTGTAACATCCATCCATCCAGAAGGGTACCATTTGCATACCCAACAATTCCCCCTAGGCGCCGTCAAATGCCCCTGGCATCCTATTTCCGTCAGTCATGGGGCACGATCCTCTCCACCACACCAACATTCATTCTCCATTTTCTCCTCTTGGAACCGCAAGGCGCGTGGGGTCCGTGGACCTGAGCTATATGCACTTACGGCTTGGGCCTAACCCTAAGTGCCGTACCGCGCCGTACACCATTAGTCGTCATTCGCATTTTTTTAAAATAAGCACATTTGCTTCACCAGCTCTAAATCAGCCAGCTAAGCTACGCCTGTGGAGAGGACTTCGATACTGTGGAGAGAACATCCCATCAGCGAACGCGACCATCAGCGCAATATCACCGCCATCATCATTATCATCATCATCACCATCGCCACCGGCTTTTAAAGTTCAAGAGAAGACGACTGCCGTTGATGTAATGCCAAAAATGCCAAAAAGTTCCAGAAGCCATATTTTTTACGAAAAATATTCCCGAAAAATCGGAAAGCAAAAATCGCCATCCTGCACCTGCCGAGGACGACGACGTCTCCTCTCTCTCTCCTTGGTGCGCCCCGCCAGCAAAGCCTACACACGGCCACACCGAACCCCGCCTTGCGCTCCAGACCCGACCGGACCTTCAAGGCCACTGGGCTCACACTGCAACGCTAACCATGTAACGTGACACCCCACACCGCGCACGCACAGAGCACACAAGCCTCCGGATCAACCCCCGCATCAACATGCACGTGCACTCACGACCCCTGCACCACACCATGCAGGCTGCGGCTGCACTCTTTTGAGGTGAGGTGGGTGAGACGAACCTAGGGGGGTCGTAACCAGGTAGTCAGTCAGTCAGTCAGTCAGGGGTTGCAAGTCAGTCAGTTCCCTCCAGGCGTCGTACTTGCTGCTGCGTGTATCTCTCCCCTGCAGACGCTGCCGCGACGTCACTTGCGCTCACACTACGAGCGCGGCCCAACACAATCCCGGCTCCCGGCTCCGCACGGTGTTGAGTCACCTCCTGGCCGATACACGTGTCGCAGGTGTCGCGGTGTGTGGGACGCTGCCGACGTGGCCGTTTCTGTTTTGGAGTCCTTGGGGGCCAAATTTCGCCCAATGTCCCGGGGGGCTCTCCTTGGCCGGCAGCCCTCATACACACACCCTAAGCGTATCTCCCTGGAGTCACGGAGAGCACCGTCTCGTCGTCGTCGTCGTCGTCAAGCCATCGCTGGCGTCAAGCCGTCGTCTCGTCGATGACCTTTTGAAGCGTAAACTTTGCCAAGAACTCATCGCCTGTACCCCCCACAAGAGTTGGGAGAGCAGCAGCAGCAGCACCAGCACCAGCGTCGCACGCCAAACATTTAATACATTTTCGCCGCAAAACAAAAAAAGATGGCAACGTTACGCACGAAAATGGTGACCGTGAGCACAGCCAACGAGGACAAGGTTTTCCTCCTTGCGTCCTTGAGATAGCGCCTCCCTCTTTCATGTGCGGGCAGGCGGGTAATAAAAAAGGACCATCATAAAAGAACTCCTTTTTACTTCAGCAGTGCCGCACTCCGCGGCCGCCGAGAAAGAGGGCTCAACAGGGGGCGACCATATCGACTGAAGACTCACCAAACACGATTTCCCCGCCGATAGGGAGCTCCACGTAATCCATGGCCTTGATCTCAGTCCCGTTGATAGAGGTGCCGTTGGTGCTGTTCACGTCGATGACGAGCACCTTGTCGCCCTCTGTAAAACAACAGAAGTGGGGGTGAGCGCAAAAAGAGATGTTCGCAAGCAAGCGGGCAGCGGGCAGCGGGAGAGGCGGACCCACGGGTCGGCCAAAAACGATTTGGCTGGTCACACAGCACAGCTTGCCGCCAAATCTCTCTTTCCGTACGAATTGAATTTCACGGAGCGGTACATGTACACTTACCTACGGTCAGTATGGCGTGTCGGCTGGACACTGTGGGCACAGGCAACACAATGTCGCAGGGATCCACTCGCCCCACATCCAGAGTCCCCTCCCGCAGGACCACTGGCCCCGGGAGCTCCACCTTCTCACCGTCAAGGTGCTCGCAGCTGCCGTTGCCTGAACAAGCAAACAAACATGTGCCCTGTGTGATGTAATTGAGTAAGGCCACTAAAATGTAGTAATAACGCGGCGTGCCGTATGTGGGGTGGATACACTTGTATCCACCCCACACTGCGTTGCTCGGGCAGGAAATGCGTAAAAAAGCGACACACCAAACACGGTGGTTGCATGGGCAGCGTAAAAATGATGCATGCATGGGCACATGCACGTGCATCGGGGCACCATTGTGCCATATCGTCTTTGGCGGCATACCTGCAGTGTCTTATTACCTTTGCCAGCAGATTCTTTACTTACATCGGCTGCCAGCCCTTCGCTGACATTCCCACGTCCCCATGTCCAGGTAAAATCACGTACACACGCATCACTTTGGCTAGAAATTCATCATGATACTTCCTTAACAAAGCCCCGTAACATGTTTCGTTTGTATCAGTTCAACTGAAGAAAGCCAAGCCGCAGCTAGGACGCAAAGTCCGTAGAACGACGCCATTCACAGAACTTTACCCGTAGGCTGCAGAACCAGCTTGTTTAATACAGATACATGGGTACGGCGAGCAGCCCGGCCAGGGAATCCTGCAAAAGTAGCTTGACGATGAACGCTCTGCTGACGTCGGACAGGTCATCTGTCGCGACAGAACCGCAGACAGCCTGTATGCGGATGATCAGGCCCGACAAAACAAGACGTCCATACCTGCCCGACTGCGAGTGCAAATAGTAGCCGAGCGAGCCAAAGACAGGCGCATGATGTTTCCTGTGTGCACGCCGTCCGATCACGGAGTTGGTCAGCTCAGAGGTTCCACGAGAATAATCCTGCTATTCAATTACAAAGCTATCAGTCATGAGATACATCTGCACGGTTCAGCTGATTGCCGGGCTCCATAGGCGAGGATATCGTCACAGTGCATCCGAGTTAGCGAGTCATGTTGGCAGCCATGATTAGATCAGGACATGTTCTAAATCTTAGCTGCGTATTTATGGTCTAAATCGTAGCTATTACACCAAGGCAGAAATGTCGGTGTCGCGCCGAGCCACTCTTTCTTCGTGCACACAGACATACCTGATCAAGAATGTCGAACCAAAAAACAATTGCAATTGACCTGCCAACGATCTGCAGCAATTACCATGTCCACATCTCGAACAAACTTCACAGACGGTACTTCGCTCCGAATCCAACGCACGGCGTCATGCGCACATTCCGATGAAGCCAGTGGCAGCTCCGAATCTCGCATGTCACTCCTTATAAATCTAAAGAAGCCACCGGAGTCATAATCATGACCGCAGCAACCATCGTTTCCGCCATGCGTGTGCAAGCATATAGAACGCTGCTGGAAATAAACAGGTTTCCCAAAGTACATCGCAAACCAGGTCCCGATATAAATATTACTATATCATATTTCCGAACGTATCCAGGTTAAGACTGCATTTGCTAAGGCTCATGCGCCTTCCGTACCCCTCAAGCGCGCGCGAAAGCTGTGCGGACGGCGGTACGAGAATGTAGGAAAGAGGAAATTCGCCCCAAAACAAAAAAACATCTTGCGAGGAGTGCATGCCGGATCCGTGACCGTGTGAGGAGCAGACATCGGCAAACGCTTCGGGAGTTTCGGGTCGCACCGAAAAAACTCCCGAAAACAGAAACAGAGCTCCCCAAGCCGGCCGGCTTGCAGAAAGAGGAGAGGATCATACGCCGTATACGAATTCACGCACCGACTTCTTTATTCCGATAACCGAAATAACAACCCTGTAACCACCTTCACTCCCACCTAGACGCCATTCAACAAGGATACCTCCAACCGGAGGTCGGCAAATCGGTTTCCACAGCTGCGGGAGGGCATAAATTCGGTCAGTAAACCTACAAAAAAAACTTCCGGTCGCCTTCCGGCGCCAAATAAGGCCGCCCGCAACAGAGGCTGCAAATCTCGCCTTTTGGTCAAATTTTGGTCATTAGGGACCCTCAGCCTGGCATTGAACTGTTTGACATTCGACAACACAAAACTGTGGACACCACCACCGCCACCACCACCATCAAGTACATTACGGCTTCAATTGTTGGACCCCTCCCTTCAACTCACACAGACAGACAGACAGACAGACAGACAGACAGACACAAACACAGACAGATAGATCTCACATACGAAAACACATCAGCTCGTAGCAGTCATCCGTGTTTCTCCCCCCCCCACAGACCCCCACAGACCCCTACAGACCCCTACCCTGGTCAGCCTCCGGATCGACCCCTTCGCCCCGCGGATCCCGCGGCCCATCCCTCAGCCCAGCAGCACCAACACCCCGCAGCCCAAGCCGTCCCGCCGAACAGAGCCCGTAGCACGCACAAAGAGTAGCAGGTCCCGACAGACTCCCACACACACATCCCCCACCCCCACCCGCACCTACAGCTCAATCTTCCTCCTCTCCTCCTCCTCCTCCCCTACGTCCACCTCCACTTCCACAGCCGCCGCCACATCCTCAAGGCCGCCGCCCGACTCCGATACCTTCTCCACCGCCGCCGCCGCCGCCGTCGCAGGCACCTCCACCGCCGGCGCCGCCGCGGCTGTCAGCTCCACCGGCAAGGGCTGTCCCGCCTTTGACACGTACTCGGAATATCGGCTCCGAAACCCTAGCAACCGGGCTAGCGGGACCAGGAACTTCCTGGCGGCAGCCCACAGCTGCGGCGGCAGCTCCGCCAGCGTCATGTCGTACTCGGCGAAGAGCAGCACTAGCTGCATGGGGTTCACCCGTCCGATACCGCCGAACTGTTCGGGGTTAGTGTGGGAGGGAGGGAGGGAGGGAGGGAGTGTGTGGGGTGGGGAATTAAGTGTGGGGTTTTGTGAGGAGAGAATCACAGAATGCAAGAAGTCAAACACCGCCGAACTGCCAACTGACGTTCCCAAGCACCAACCGCCGTAACGGAAACATGGAGAGGTGGGAAGTAGGAGGTAGGTTTTACGGTTTACGGTTGGATGTTCTCTTAACAGCTCCAAGAACGACCAGGTTCCGACGCGATGATGCGGCAGGAGGGCCGGGGGTGGTG